GCTAATAAGTTACAGATTTGTAATTAACCTATTGTGTTTCATAGAGGCATTACATTGTATGTGCTTGTTTCACTAAGGTGTTCAAAATGGCTTTCAAGATATTGTGCATTTTAGTTGCAGTCCACATTTGTACTTTAATTTATATAATTGATTAATGAAGAATTTTAGACTTGAGTGCCTATTCCTGGGGATTTGACTGGGGATTTGACTTTCTACCCCAGGCTTGTTATTTCTGGGGTATTGCTGGAGTAGACCTTGCAGATACCTAATTTTTGTCCTCCAAGTCCCACTTGACAGAAGGAGAGGCGGAGGTTGATTATTTTGAATATATATTTTCTCTCCCTTTCCTTTTGTTATCATTTAATACCTAGAGATAATGTGGAATTATCAGAAGCCATGTAAGCCTATATAATGCTTGTTTGGGTCCTTATTCAGTGTCCTATCATGGTTTCTACTTTAATACAGATATAGCGCATACAGTAGGTCTTTCTTGAATATCTGATATTGACTTTAACTTGTTTATTGACTTTAAGTATGAATATGAGTATTTCTGGAATTCTGATCCAGCTTGTTTATTTGTAGATCTATATTTCTATAATCCTGACCTTGATATAGCGTTAAGTCCGGCCACTCGAAGGCCTGGTAATGCGTCTATATTTGACTCTCTATGTGTGGGTTTCCATTAATTGTTATTATTATTATGTTATTATTTATATAGCGACAACAAATTCCGCAGCGCTTTACAGTGTGTGGACGAACAGACATGTAGTTGTAACCAGACAAGTTGGACACACAGGAACAGAGGGGTTGGGGGCCCTGCATACATGCTAGAGGGAGTGGGGTAATGTGACACAAAAGGTAAGGATAGTATTAGACTAATGACGGTTGCAAGAGAGGAAGCAGTCGGGAGCTATTAACAGTTTAATGGATACGCTTTCATGAAGAAGTGGGTTTTTAATGATTTTTTGAAGGAATGGAGACTGGGTGAGCATCTAACGGAGGAGGGAAGTGAGTTCCACAGGAACGGTGCAGCCCTGGAGAAGTCTTGAAGGTGAGCATCAGTGGTGGGACAACGGACAGAAGATAGACGTAAGTCTTCAGCAGAGCGTAAGGGCCTATACGGGACATACTTATAGGTAGGTGGGAGCAGCATTATGTAGAGATTTGAATGCAAGAACCAGAATTTTAAATTGAGCCCTTTATCTTACAGGAAGCCATTGTTGGGACTGACAGAAGGGTGAGGCGTGGGAGGTGCGGGCGGACAGGAAGATGAGCCTCGCCACCGCATTCATTATTGACTGTAACGGCGCTAGTTGGGAGCACGTAAGACCACTGAGAAACTGATTACAGTAGTCAAGGTGAGAAAGGACAATGGAATGGACCAGTACCTTAGTCGCATCTGGCGTTAAGTAGGGTCGGAAGCGCAATGTTTTGGAGGTGGAAGCGACAGGATTTGGCGATAGACTGAGGCGTGAAGGAGAGGTCGGAGTCAAAGAGAACACCTAGGCAGCGAGTCTGCGTGGTGGAGCAGATGGTAGCACCGTTGACTTGTAGGGAGACAGACACAGGAGTAACAACACTTGAGGGAGGAAAGACTAAAATTTCAGTTTTGGTCAAGTTGAGTTTAAGGAAGTGGGCAGCCATCCAGTTAGAAATAGCAGAGAAGCAGTCAGAGACACTAGTCAAGAGGGACGGGGAGAGATCAGGAGAGGAGAGATAGATTTGTGTGTCATCCGCATAGAAATGATATTGGAAGCCAAAGGGGCTAATGAGTTTACCAAGGGAGGCAGTATAGATAGAGAACAAAAGGGGACCAAGGACTGAACCTTGGGGGACACCAACAGAGAGGAGTTGAGGAGAAGAAGCAGAGCCAGAGAAATAAACACTGAAAGAGTTCTGGGAGACGTAGGAGGAGCACTAGGAGAGAACAATATATTGTATCTGTGACAACAGGAGAGTAGTGTAAAGCGGTACAAGTCATCAAACTAACTTTTGACAGGTGCCCCGCCCCCTTTTTATGAAACCACGCCCCTTTTAGGAAACCACACCCCTTTTTTATGAAACCACGCCCCTTGCGCAATATGTCAGACGCCCCGCCCCTTTTTATGAAACCACGCCTGTTGCGCAATAGGTCTCTGCCCCCTGTGTGGTGATGGTTGCCCGGCCCTTTCATGAAACCACGCCCCTTGCGCAATAGGGCCCCACCCATTGCGCGTTGATGGGTGTCCGCCCCTTTTTTTATGAAACCACACCCAATACGGCATGTAATAGACACGCCCCTTTACAATGTTCATAGAGTCTGCCACCATGTGGTTGTATGAGGTACTACATCCTATGGTTGGATGTTTATTTATTTTAAATTTCATTTCATATTACTGAATAAAGAGGACAAGTCTGGACATGTTTTGGAAGATGTGTCTGGGGCCAGTTTTGAAAGTAGAGAACAAACCCAGAGGGCAAGTTTATATACATCTGAGAAATAAATAAATGCCAAAGTAACTCATATAACGATATTTATTAGACAAAAAAAAAAAAAAAGCCGATACACTATTCACAGGAAAAGCAACAATACAATAGTCACAGGCAAAAGGGGTAATACAATGTATGAAGGAAAAGCAATAATCATCACATGTTTTAGACAGAAATGCAATGAATAAACATCACAAATTCAACCAATCAGCAGGCTGCTTTAGTATACGGGGGCGCTTCTTAGGTAGCAAATAGCCGTGAGATGTAGTTAATCCCGGGGTGCTAAAAGAAATATTTGGTAACGATTGTCTCTTTTGAAAATGGGGTGTTATGTCCCGAGTCTCGCTTGGAAGGATCCGCAATTTCAATTGTTCCAAATAGTCTCTATTTGATGTGTTGCCCACAACGGTAGACGGTATGTTCAGGTCAGCCATAGCCTGAAGAAAAGTATCCCAGCCCAGAGGTAATTTACGTACCGTAACATTGTGACTCTGGGTAACACTACATACCAAATCGAGTATATTTGATCCCGGTACAACAGTGTTTTTATAAACAAATTCACCCTTATCATTCCAAGCGGTAATGTGCTTAAATTGAGACATTCTACTCAACAACAATTCAGCATTTTTTTTATAGCGGACATTTACATTATTAACAACTTCACGAAATACAGCGTCTGAAACATCAGAGACTCCAGCATTATGAGGATGTGCTACAGGGGGGTTTGGTACGGAGGATTCTCCAGGAGGTAAGAAAAGTGTCAAGCCCAACTTTTCGCTTTCACTCTGTTTAGTACGTACCAAGTATTTCTGCAATATAGTGGTATACCTCTTTATCTTCTCATCATCCGATACACCTCTATTTTGAAGAATAGAAATAATCTCATTATCTAGGTTTTGAGTGACAGACTCACGAGCGGTCTCAGAGCTCTGAGTGGTTCGCTGTATTAGGTCTAACTCTTGTTTAGACACTAAGTACTTTTTCTCAGCGTGTGCCATTAACGGTTAGTCAAAAGACCGGTCAGCAGAGGTATAGCAAATCCCAACAGAGAGCCAATAAATCCTCCAGACTGTTTAACCAACTGTTTCTTCTTACTAAAAGACACTTTTTTGTTGCTCAGTGCTTTTATATTTTTTCGCCACTTTTTTAGCTTTTCTACTTGTTGTTGTGATAAAGGTATCTTACCTTTAAGGGTATTAAGAGCTATTTCACATATAGCCGTGACTAAATCATGAGATGCGGAGCATAAAATATCTTTTTTTTGTGATGGCGATGCACTTATTAGACTTTGTAAAGCCAACCAATTGCGACGTATACGCATAGACATCCTTAAGGATCTGAGATTCGGCAGGGAATGACCTGTTAAAGGTATGTTATCGACTTTTAGAGGGCTGTTTGTTATAAATATATGCAGAGGGAAGGTCGGGTGGGAAGAGACCGGTTCTTAAGCGGTACTCTTCGAGGGTTGCAGATCTTAAATCTACAAGTAGATAACCATAAGATCTGCGTGTGGCATCTTCAAAAGCGTCTAGAAAAAATTGTGATTTACCGGGGTACATTTGGCGGGCCAGAGTAGTGATTTGCAGTTTATCTCTTGGGTTCTTAAAAAGTACCATATATTTAGTGTTTAAAGCTATAGTACGACTTTTTTTACCTTGACAGAACACATTCTGCACCAGATACATAATACTCAGATTTCTGTGATGCACATACTTGGTGAATGCTTTCTCAATTTCTGAACTCTCACTAGCAGCCTCCATTAAGTCATCAACAATAGTTAAATTTACTCTGTTAGGGGGGAACAAATTATCATCATTAAATGTTGTGGGTAAACCCTCTATAAAACGAATATTTGGGATTGTGAGTAATAATTCATCATAAAGCACTTGCCAGCAGGCATAAAACCAAACAATGTTATCAGGAGTGTGCGACATTAAAGCGGTAGCATTCTGTAAAACCTGTTTGACAAAATAACTTTTCCCGGAATTAGAAGGGCCTGCCAATATGCATGAAAAAGGATGTTGTAAACGAGTGTCCATGGTGAATGATTAGTAACCAAATGGGAGAGTGGTAAAGTCGTCGACCAAATATCTTTTTGTATATACACACTTCTGTGTTTTCTGTAGCGGTCGCGTCTCTATCTGCCAAAGGAGTTTATTTCTGACAATGGAGGACTGTCGTACCACTATTCTTTTCTGTTCATCAGGGTCTGAGTGCAAGGGGTAGTCCAACACCAGGTCTTTTAAACTGTCAAAGTTAATCAACTGGGCATTACTGGCATGAAGTGTTATGCCTTTCACCTTTAGAGATGTTTTATCCGTCGATAGTTTGTAACCATACGTCTTGGGACCTGCAGATACAAACTCTGTAATGTGTGTGTCACAGGGTATTTCACTAGTCAGCTCACCTAGATAGTCCCCTAGAGGTGGATTCCAGTCACCCGCTGTACTAACAAAAATAACAGAGTCAGTGTCGTGGTAGAGACATCTCTCATTAAGACGGTCTAAAACATTGTACAGTTCAAGTCGTGCATAGGCGGTGGTAAAACATGCAATAAATATATTGGTATTGCGAGACGGACTGTGACAACCCTGGGCGTGCTTCCAACTGAGCATGGCTGTATCATCATTTATGAATGACAGAGAAGACACCTCGTATTCAGGTAAAAATATATAACCAAAAAGCTTGTCAGGATCAGATACAAGACTTGTGGTTTGCAAATTAGTTTTCTGACCAAATTTGCCCCATAAAGAATTAAGAAACAATTTTGCAATCTGTCGTTTTGCAGGGTTTACTTCTATTTTCTCTGGTCTTAGCAAAATACCCTCTTTAGCGTAATAAGCATCAATGTATTGGCGTCTTTTTTCATCAGTCGTACACCATTCAGGGTAACCTGAGGATTCCTGCTTATCCCTAAGGTGCACCTTTATATACTTTTCAAATAACGTATTGGAAGAGTAAGGAAAGTGCCAAATCTCAAAGATCTTCCCCAACCTGTAGCCCTTAATCAGGGCTTGTTGTATTTCAATAGTGCACCAAGTACCTGTCAAAGAGCGTTCCTCCTCATTATGTTCACAATGTGCTGTTTGGTTATTGGCTGTGCATGTACGACATAATGGGAACATAAGTTTGCCATTCATTTTAACCGGTAGAACAGGGAAAAATAGACCTCGGGGTGGGTACACTGTTACTTTAGCAAGGCCAAAATAGTGTTCAAAAGACTGAAAATTATCATAAATGATTACTGGGTGATCCGTGGGATATAATTTTGTTTTGTTGACGTATGGGTATAGACTGGTAAAATCATAATAGTGTATGCTCTCACCTGGGGCCGCTTTGTGGTACAATTTGATTGCGTTTGTGCGGCCCCCATAAAGCGCATCACGAGGTTCCAGCGGCTGTGGAAAATCTTTATCGATAAGAAAAGCCTGTAGATCCTTGTCAGTTTCTAACAGGTTTGACCAATCATGCTCCCACATCTCACGGACCACATAACCCCGCATTTTTAGAAAATGATTTTTAACATTGGTTTTGTGGTGTAATTGTGCATAGGTAGTCTTTGTAACTGTGTTAAAAGCCTTTTCATTATAACAAACTGGGCAACCGTGGTAGAAACAACCCTGAAATTCAAAAGCTGTAGGCTGGCCATCAATCAGAGCGTACCCATCCAAAAAATAGTTACCAACAGCCCTTTCACCGCCCTGTAGAGCGTGCTGAATAGTGATCCCCTCTTTGTGTGCAACATACATTAACCACTGTATAGACTTTGTTGAGAAACGTTTCTGATTTGCATGGTAATTGTCAGAGGGTAAAATTGCTATGGTATTTTTCGGTAAAAACTTAAATCTGTACATGGCCATGCACACAGACGCTAATGTAGTGAGTTGAAAAGGATCAATATCAGCAATGACGGTTTCAGGACCGTCAGGACCCACAATAGTTTTTACCTTCTTGGTCATCTCCATCACACTTTCTCTGTAGCAGACACAGGCCTGTTTCAAGATTTTAACATCATCTATACAGTATTTCTTAAGTTCATTTTGAAAATTGAACTGACAATGTTGGTTCTCTTGATACCAGACCATAAACTCCTTTTTATCATCACACATCATTTGGTCATAACCATAATAGTCTACCAAAGGCATAGGGCCAATATAAGACTGATTCTGGGCTGTGTTAAAAAAGTGTGGAAAATAGCCTTTACAACCGACGAAACCCAGGGCCTTTGGCAATTGACTTAGTTTCATGGGGAGAAAATTTAAAGAATCGATAAATCTGATACCTAGATCAGCGACAGTCACACAAAGTAATTTACCACCTTGCGCCAACAACTCAATAGCAATTTTCTCCTTAAGAAGTTGATTCACCACAAAGTAAGAATCATACCTGCCTGCATTATGCGCTATGAATGTGTAGTTACTAAAGGGCTTGTTTATAAATGTTATTATAAACTCCTCTAGGCACGCTGTACCCTGAAACTCCCAGCACTTATCCCCTTCTAATTCTGAAGCATAGATATAGTTGGGGATATGTACACCGGTCTCCTGCATACATTCAAAGTCATAAAAAATGTATTTGTTAGTAGGGTTTTCTGGGGTGTATCTTCTCATATAACAAACATGGCCATCAAGCGTGACTACAGTGGCATAGCAAATCTGACATTGGAAACCTTTACACTTATGATCGGCCATTACGGTGTAACGGCCGCAAGAATCACAATAAGCTTTCTGCCTGCACTCTATGTCTCCGGATACGGAGAGCTCTATGTGCAACTTTAAGCACTCTTGTGAACGACAAAAAGTACGACAACTGGAACATCTAGGAAACTCCCCTTTCACTTCTACACAGTTCTGTCTGTGACAGGCCTTACAAAAATACCGGCAGGAATGATTGTTTTTGTGAGAGAATGGTGTGTGACAGTAATTACAGAAGTATGATTCCCCAATGAACGCATTAATTTTTTTAATGCCATAATAATGTTTGTCTTCATGGTATATAAACACAACTTTATCTTTACAGGGCTTGTCTGAATGAAAATAGTGCCACGAACCATGATTGTGATACAGTACTTTAATTGTAATGCCTAAATGTTGTTCAAAAGCTGGGATGTCGCTAAAACTAACCAGACGATCATCAGGGATACCTACAGCTTTATGTATTTCTCTGGCTCTCTCCAACAACAGAGAGTCTACAGGATTATCCTGAGCCACAAGGGCACAAATGCTAGCCGCTAGACACAGGTTATTATTATCATTGTTTAAATCATAAAGCCATCTCTTTTTCCTGGCAATGATACAACTATAGGGTGTTGACCGGAGACGCCTACGATGCATTACACCACCGACTCTATTCCTAACAATGATTACAACCAACCTTAAAGACCCGCTGCCAATAATTTCAGCATTGCTCTGTACCAGGTTTGACACTGCGTTTAAAAAGGTTTCAGCATTCAATTCATCCCTACAATGTCTAATAGAGTGTAACGGTCTGCCAAGATCATCGCTATCTAGCCTTAATTGAACAAAATCGCTGGGACCTATATCAGGCATCATCCTGTTTAAAAGCTCTTGAATAGCATCATGTACAGACTGGAGTGCGTCTGAAAACGATGTTATTCTGTCTAAATTTACAAACCGAAAATGTTCATAATATTCTACGTCATTAAAATTGTTAATATCTCTGCGGCGTTGTTCAACACGCTCCAAAAATACAGGGGCCTCTAACTCATTAACAGGGTTCTGCACTTCGGGATGTTCCTGCGAATCGTTAATATTCTCAGGACTAAATGGACTTTGTTACGTCTCTGTGGAAAGTTCTGTAGGTGTTGGGGCTATTTCAGTATCATTTGTGTGGGGTGTCACAGGGGTAACTGTAGCGTCTACGCCATCCTCAGCCGGAAGCAGCACAGGTGTTAAGCATTTGATTGCCTCACAAGGGGTCTTACGGCGTTGCCTAGACATCGCAGAACGTAATGCACCTCGCAATGTATTTATGGCACGTTTAACGGTTCTAGCTCGACGCTTAGCTACAAGTCTCTGTCTGTCCCATTTTTTGGATTGAGATAATAAACCCCGTCCAACCATGACTAGTCACGCGGGGGTCAGTAAATTTAGTCCTGAACGAAAGGCATTGGTAGCACGGTCAAGTCTTTCAAAACGGTTTAAAAAATTAGTTTGTCTAAGCTCATCATCAGTCACAATAACAATGTTACGGATCTCACTAATCACAGAGTCAATAAAGTCTCCTAAAGCGAACCAAAAACCAAGTTCCCTTAAAAACCACTGTAATAAATCACTGACGTTGTCACGGGGTAATATAATGTTTGGTATAACACCGTTTATACTCAATTGACTATCACGACCATCATGGGATAACAATGCATGGCCAATTCTAAATGGGCGGCTAGCGGCATAAAGTTTTAGACTCAGAGGCCTGCTGCACTGTAAAAGAGCAGCGTCATTCAGTATTTTGAATATTTCAGTGATTGTATGTTGTACAGCATCCTTGACTTTAAACCATAAAGGAGCAGAACGCGTGAACCACAACATACATTTTCTAGTATCAAGAGGTGATGTGGTCTCTGTATAAATGTGTGTGTTTTTGCTGTCAGTATGTGTTATGGTCTGTAAAACATATCTACTTTTCTTAGGTGGCGGGTGTGTCGGCACCTTTACAGAGGTATTTCTGGATGTCAGTGATGTAGTCCCTCTATGTATATTGTTATCATTGCCGATGGTTTGTGTTATGTCCTGTAAAACAGATCTACTTTTCTTAGGGTTTGGTTGTATAGGAACATTTACAGGGCTAATGGATTGTTTCACAGGTACATTTGATTCTACAGTGAAATGTCGACACCCTGATACATTGCCTGGTGATGTGACTGATGGCTTACCCCGAGATGTGTGTTTTGTTGTGGTTAATGAATGTATTTGTTGAGGCTCCTTTGCGACGCATGCCGCACTAGATGGACGCTGCCTTAAAACCCCTGAGGTCGACGTTGACGGTTGTTCATCGTCACGTGTGACTGGAATATCTCTTGTAGAGCGGATCCGGGTTATAGACAACTTTGGTACTGTATTCAAAAATAAATGAGTAAATTAATACACCGATGTACATACAGGTATATCTATGTAGTAAATAAAGATACAAATAAATATACTATATTTATGTAGTATACAAATATACAAATAAACAAAGAACTCATACGTATACTTGCCCTGTTTTAGTTTATGCGGGGTGCAGTCCCTGCGTTCTCCGGCATTCGCGCTGTATGTCTTACGACCGTGATCCGCAGCTGGTAAGCGGCTAATGTCTGTGCATGCATTAGATACTGCTGAGGTTTTTGTACTCTTTACGGTTGTTTCTAAAATAAATAGAAATATAATTATCGCAGGGATAAAACCGGGGATGATACAACCGCATATAACGTTATATAAACACATACCTGCTTTTAATGGTCTATGTGGATGTATGTTGGAGGGTCTGTCAGTCAATACTCTAGTATTCAAAGGATCTAAATAAATAAAATACAATAAGCCTTAGTTTTTTGGGGGTTTTTTTGTTTTGTTTTTTATGCATAAAAGACTTCAAAATAAATGTTTAGAATTTTAGAACGCTTATCAATATAGAAAATTTACAACCTTGTGAGGCGACCGCGAGCCTTCTGTGTAACTCGTTTTCATTCGTTGTTGGACTGATTTGTGCCTGAAAGGTGATAAAGTATTTGAACGCTTATGAAGGGAACACTAGGTCAGCATTTTACAATGAATGACCACAATCGGTTGTTTGACAAAACAGACACAGTGAGATGTCTAACAGCCACAGTGATATGGGTGATGCTGTAGCATCACAGCTTATTTTAAAAAGGTAATGCCATAACATGCGAGGATAAACTCAGCATAACGCATATATACAACATATATAAGCCCAGCATAACACATATATTAAACAACATACACGGATAAGACCCACAAATGCATAGAGAAGAAGTTTGCATACATTAAAAACATGACTATGTTCAGCACGTAACGTTTTAGAACACAGACACACAGAAACAAACAATGCAGACTCTATATAATAGACCCTTACGTTGTTAAAAATAAAAACCAAAACATACGGCACACAGTCTATACTACCGACCCTGACAGTTAGAAATAAAGCAACCCCATTGATGCTGTATCATCACAGCTTATTTTAAAAATGTTATGCTATAACTTACACGGATAAGCACAGCATAACACATATCTACAACATATAAATCCAGCATAACACATATATTCATACACAGACAAGCCCCGCAAATGCCTAGAGAAGGATTTTGCCTACATTAAAAACATGACTATGTTCAGTACGTAACGTTTTAGAACACACAGAGACGGAAACAAGCAGTGCAGACTCTATATAATAGACCCTTACGTTGTTAAAAATAAAAACAAATACAGACGGCATACAGTCTATACTACAGACCCTGACAGTTTGAAATAAAACAACCCCATAGACATTTATATTGTAAAAAACATAAAATTTTAAATATAAAAGCATGATTTAGAATTACTTACCATATCTGTGTCTTGGGTATTCATTATGTAGTTGTATCCAGGAGCTGTCTTATGACCCCTAGTCTTGAGACTGGTCTTTTTATACCTTTTTTTTTTGTAATGTTTTTTTTTTTCTTTTTTTTTTGTTGGTGTTTGCGTGATGGGTTCAGGCAGGTGTATGATGGTCATTGTGTGATGTGGTCAGACAGGTGCATGAGGGTCATTGTGTGATGTGGTCAGACAGGTGCATGAGGGTCATCAGTAGTAAAAATAGCCATACTCATTGCAATAGACAAAACTGATTTTATTGAGAGTAAAATAAATCATTACATATCAATGACGATAACACGCGGTACATCTCTGCACATGCACGCTATGAACGCGTCTATTTTTTAACCCACGCATATATTGCCACACAAAACTGGAGACTAAACGGTCATTTTGTTTTAATTCACTTGTGAAATGGCTTAAAAGCTCTTTAAAAGCAACCCCTTTGCACATATGATGAATAAAAAAAATACAGAATTCACCACATACTGTAGACAGAGTGCTTTGTAACTGAACATTTTGAAAGTATATCTGTTTAGCATTTCTTTTTAAAAAAATCAGTATTTCTTTAGGGAATATTTCGCTTGTCGGTGCTAGTCCGTACGAATCAAAAAAATATCCCTGTCTCTTATCATCAATATAAACAGCCAACCAGTGCTCCCCGGATAATGTATGTGGATCTGTATTGATAATGAATGCCGCTGGTACGCTGTCCAGTTTAGAGGTGGGTAGTAAATCACACGGAAACACGCCAACAAATATACCTCTGGAATATGGGTCGGTACGTAAAATATGCGTTATTTCTAAGGTGTTCATGGTTAGGTTTTAGAGAAAATCATAAAGAACCTCCCGTCTTTGATTAATTTCAATAACGTTTTCAAACAGTCCATAGACGATCAGATTTACAGTGCGTTCCAGGGCCCTCGAAAAGCGTATTTCCGCCCTTAGGTTACCGCTACGTATGAGTGAAAAATGACTACTGCATTCCTGATCAGGCGATAGATCAAAAGCGAATAATGTATATCCGTCCACAAATTCTACTCTGTTAATTATAATTCCAGAATCACCGCAGTTCTTCTGTGCCAATAATAAAAATGACATATATTCACGCACTGCGTTAGAATGTTCAAAATCAGGCTGAAACGGCTTTGCAGGTATTTGTTCACCATCTAGATAGAGAGCCGCAAAATTTACATTGTGGTGTTTGAAACACAAGGGATTTCTGTCGTAAGCGCCTGAAAAAGCTTCATTGTCGACAAACGCTAAAATGACCATCTTAGGGATCTGTCCCAAGAATATATTTTCCTGATTGCAAACACGACTACCGGTGGGCACACTGAATACTTTCATACTAGCGCGCTCTATGGCATATTTAGCGTTGCCGGTTAGAAGTCCTTGCGCATGACCTATTCGCACGGCCGGTGATATCTGGACTCTTTTAACAAACAGAGACGCATTTATAATTTGAAGTTTAAATGGTTCGGGGTCTGCGGACATTAAACAAAATGTGTCTTTATTTCTGGTAAGTTTTATTTTCAAATCCAGACCGTTCAGTATCAGTTTCTCCTGAAAAAATAGATCGCTATGTAGATGACCAAGTAATTCAACAGTCTTACTGCGCGCTGTCATATGTGCACGCTTTGTAAAGCCTTTGTTGTCACCGTCCAAAACGCGGTCTTGATGTTTTCCCGCAGTATCCTTGTAAAATAATCCGGCAGTAAACTGAGTTGATAAAGCATCGGCGCTGTAATTGAGAAGTGTTTCAATGTAGGCTCGGTAAGCGTAGAGATTATTGGATTGTGATATCAGTCTGTCCCCGAGTGTAACATCTAGCTGATTAAATAGTGTCGCTATCGGGTAATTGATTAGACTCACTCGTGCACCTTCTGCAATCGGCGTATTGTCGTTTTTAACAATTTTACACGTAATGTACAACAGTGTGTTATTCAAATCGAAATAATGTTCACCGCTGCCTGCTATGTAGAACTCGAGCGGTGAAGTTTCCGAAATGGCTGCCAACGGTTGTACTTCCACATACAGACTTTTTTCAATGCTGGTCTGAGTAGGTTTTATTTCAAAAAGATCCAGTTCTGATTTGGCGCATTCTACGGATGCTGAATGGATAAACGACATGACAGCTGTTCAAAATATGTTGTTTGCGTTCCTTCGTGATACTCTTCTCTTCTTTCTAGCAGGAGGACAAGCCTTTTTGTTGTATGTGTACGGCATACATGCAGGAAATACTCCCGGTCGTTTCCGTTTCCTTTTAGGGGTATTTCTACCTATGTATACTAAACCAGTGCCGTCCTGGGGTTCTCCTACTATTTTATTCATCGCTGCCGTTGAAACTCTACCGACAACGTCCTTTGCAATGTTCCTAGCCGCTGTTTTTACATGTGGTTTCACCAATTCTAAACCACGTCTGAACAAAGGCACGGCTCTCCGGAATAAGCTTCTAAATATTCCCCCTAAACCACGACCGTACATATATGTACTACCATGAAATCCCGTCAGTCCCTGACCTGCTTGTGACTTATAATAAGCGCTGTAAACGTGTGGTTCTGCATAGGTTTTAACCACAACCATTTTTTCTTTAATAAAAGCTTCCACGCCGGGGTCGAAAGTGTAGCTTAATGATAGCCTTCCCGTATTTGAATGAAACGTTTCTGTTCTGATCGTTCTTTATCTCTATTGTGATGTTGTCAAAATGGTATTTACTGACTGGTATGTAGTCAGGTTTGATGTACCGCTGGGTAATAATTTCGTTGTTACTGCCGGTAATTTCTACTGTACGTAACAGCGGTACAAAACTGTCGCCTACACGCTGATGTTCTATTATGTCTGTATAAACGAATAAGGTGTAAAAGCTGTCTTTTATATCCGCACACATTCTGCCTGTGACGTTTGGCCTCTCGTGATTATAATCAATACCAAGAATGTGCGTCAATCTGTCGCTGGCAATAAACGTATGCGTACCGTTGATAGATACCTTTCTCTCTAGCGAATCATATTCTAGCTTTATATCCATCGGAGGAAATTTGTAACTTTCAATCCGTTCATTAATACCCGACACCAGATCTTCAATAGCATTATAATATCCTGATTTTACACTAAGCCGTTTCGTAGGTCCGCCTGGTAACCCTACATATATTAAACCATCTGAGGCTTCAAAAGTATTCCATGTGTGTGGATATTGTATTTCTGTTAAACCCACTTCCCATTCTCCTTTTAAGATAATCGGCTTGGATAGTTTTGTCGTATAATTGGATATTTTGTTTTGAGGGTATATTCCGTGCGAAGCGTTACTAGGCAGCGTTACATAAAATGCGGTTTCCTCCATAGTTGTGTTGTTGTTTAAAGGGCGGTTAACTGCTTTTTGTCAATCCAGCTATTGAATGCCGCTGGGTAACCTAACCATTTGACGTAGTACAATGTTTTACCTTTGTCGATTTTCTGTCTTAAAACTTTTTCAATTCTGTAAACACGTTTGTAATTTGGAGGTATTTTCTGTATTTCTTCAGCGTAGAATGATCCCTCAATTAGTTCGTCGTTACAATCTTTTAACGTAAAGAGGGGTTTTATACCTCTGGTATTTATTGAGTCCACTACAAATATTTCATCAGTGAAGGTCTGCTCATACCCTTTACTGAAAATGTCTTTATACTTTGATATCCTGACTTGGTCTCCGATTTTCAGCGCTGGTTTAATCCTTTTAAGATTGAAATACTCCCCGTAAATGTTTTTCCACACTATGAGTGTGTTTTCATGCGTCACCGCTGCAGGAGCGCACCGTATTGTTCTGTGTACTGTGTGGTTGTAGCTATATATCAGATCAGCCAGAATATCCACATAGCGGAACGTATTGCGCGCAGTAAAATAGCGCCACATTTTAGTTTTTAATGTTCTGTTAAAACGCTCCACAATAGCGGCCTTCACCATATTATTTGTTATAAAGTGTATAATCTCACATTTTTTAAAGACTGCTTTTACACTCTTGTTAAGGAATTCTTTGCCTTTGTCCGTTTGCAACTTTTGAGGTACACGACCCGTTGCAAATATATTCTGAAAAGCATCAGCAACGGTTTTTCCTGATTTATTCTTCAAAGCCACAGCCCAGGCATATTTTGACAGCACATCTATGACGGTCAGTATATATTTTATACCATCATTTTGCTTAGCAAAGTCAATCATTGACACAAGATCAGCTTGCCATTGTTCGTCAATATTAGAGACGCAAATCTTATTGCGCTCAAATCGTCGCCTTGCTGGCCTGTGTAATGTGTAAGCGTCCTGTTCTGTCAGCCATTCTTTAACAACAGTTCTTTTAATGTTATGTTTTTTAATTGAGTTATATAATTTATCAATACCACCGTAGCTACCTGCTTCTCTTGGTGTGTAATATATGGATTTTAATACTGATTTATTAATGCTGTTTGGCATCATGATTAAAGAATACTATTCACCTGTTTATCTTGTTACAGCTGTCACCCTGAGAGCCTAGGCTGTAAATGCCAGCTGGCTGTAAACAATCATACTGTACCCTGTGTTTAAGGAAAACATTTCAATTGTTGATTTTGTTACGGCTGTCATCCTGGGACCCCCCTGTCTTGGCTGTAGATGCCATCTGTCTGTCATTGCTCATCTAAGCACTATTGGTTTTAGATCTAATTGCATTGACATACGTGTCTAATAAACATTGCTATATGACTTAATTTGGTATTTATTTATTTCACAGATTTATATAGACTTGCCCTCTGGTTTTGTTTTCTACTTTCAAAACAGGTCCCAGACATATCATCCAAAAAACATGTCCAGAACTGTTCCCCTTTATTCAGTAATATCCATCCTCTAAATGAAATTATTTTTTTTTGGGCTATTATGGGTTTGTTCTCTACTTTCAAAACTGATTGTTGAGTAGAATGTCTCAATTTAAGCACATTACCGCTTGGAATGATAAGGGTGAATTTGTTTATAAAAACACTGTTGTACCGGGATCAAATATACTCGATTTGGTACGTAGTGTTACCCAGAGTCACAATGTTACGGTACGTAAATTACCTCTGGGCTGGGATACTTTTCTTCAGGCTATGGCTGACCTGAACATACCGTCTACCATTGTGGGCAACACATCAAATAGAGAC